AGGCGAAAAAAATTTAAAATAACCTTAAGCTCTAGATACCATGTTGAATATAGAAGAAATATAGTTTGAGATTAATCTCCCTTGTGTATAAATCACACATAGGGTAATCTACTTATAATAGAGAGATACAACTAAAAAAGTAACTAAAAGTAACAAAATAAACAGAATATATTGTTTGATATTGTGGTTAACAATATCTTAACAATATCAAATAATATATAAACAATATCTAACAAAAAGATTTAAACCTAGAGTTAAGAAGGAGACAGGGGCATGCATATCTTGTCTCAAGACAGATCATGGAGGAGAATTCTTGTCAAAAGAATTTGAAGATTTTTTTCACTCATAAGGAATATGTAGGCAGCTGACTTCCTCCTACACTCTCTAACAAAATGGTGTGGTGGAAAGGAAGAATAAGACTGTTATGAATGTTGTTTGAGTTGTTTTGCATGGAAAACAGGTTCCTAAGATGTTTTTGCCAAATGCCGTGAAGTGGTATATGCACATTCAAAATAGGAGTCTAACTGCAGCAGTGAAAAATATGACTCTAGAGGAGGCCTGGAGTGGTAAGAAGCCTGTAGTAAGACATTTTAAGATTTTTGGATGTCTTGCTCATGCACATATACCAGACCAAAAGCAGACCAAGCTAGCGGACAAAAGCAGATCTTGTATTTTCTTGGGGATCAATGATAGGTCAAAGGATTGGAAACTCTATGATCCAATATCCAAATCCACCATCATCAGTAGAGATGTGGTGTTTGAAGAGGAAGAATGTTGGAATTGGAGTTAAACAGAGCAGACACAACAACAACATTTACATTGTGGAGATGAAGATGACACTTTCAAGAATATTCATTCAGCAATAATTACATCTACGGATGATGAAGAAGAAAATAGGACCGAGGCTAGTCCATCTGATACATCTTCGGCAGAGGTTGTACGTGTGAGGAGACCTCCAAGATGGTTGGAAGACTATGAAGTTGGTTTTGGGGAAGAAAATTGCTTGAATGCAATGTTTATTATGGTTTATAGTGATCCAATTACTTTCAAAGAGGTTGTGTTGAGCAAGCATTGGAGGGAGGCTATGGCAAGTGAAATAGAAGCAATAGAAAGGAATCACACATGGGAACTCACTACATTACCTCCTGGTGTTACACCCATTGGAGTCAAATGGGTATTCAAGACAAAGCTTGATGAAAAGAGACAGGTGGAGAAATATAAAGTGAGGCTTGTCGCTAAAGGCTACGCACAAAGACATGGAATAGATTACACTAAGGTATTTGCACCAGTGGCTCGGCTTGATATAGTCCGAGTAATCTTAGCCACAGTTGCGCACTACAATTGGGAAGTATTTCAATTGGATGTAAAGAGTGTGTTTCTACATGGAGAGCTCAAGGAAGTCATTTATGTCCAACAACCAGAAGGTTTTGAAATACGGGGGGGAAAGCGAAGGTATATCAGCTTAAAAAGGCATTATATGGTCTCAAACAGGCACCACGGGCTTGGCATCACAAAATCGAAGCTTACTTTATACAAGAGCAATTTGAAAAGTGTTCTAGTGAGCATACATTATTTATCAAGTCACAAGGCAACAAGATTCTTATAGTTAGTCTCTATGTAGATGATTTAATATTTACTGGCAATGATAAGCTTATGTTTGATGAATTTAAACAGTCTATGATGTTGCAGTTTGCTATGACTGATCTGGGCAAGATGAGTCACTTTCTTGGTATTGAAGTGCAGTAGAATCACAATGGTATATTTATCTGTCAAAGAAGATATGCACGAGAGGTGTTATCCAGGTTTGGTATGTTGGACAACAAAGCAGTAAAGAATCCAATGGTGTTAGGCACTAGACTGTCATCAGAAACAAAAGGGGAGCATGTTGAGGAAACATTGTATAAATAGTTAGTATGTTGTTTATGTACTTAATTGTAACGAGACCTGATCTGATGTATGTAGTCAGTTTGATAAGTCGATTTATGACCAAACCCACCATAACACATTGGCTTGCTGCAAAACGAATTCTAAGGCATGTAAAAGGCACAATGGATTTTGGGATTTGGTACAAGAAAAAGACTGGTAGTCTAAAACTACTAGCCTTCACAAACAATGACTATGCAGGTGATTTGGAGGATCGGAAGAGCACATCTGGATTTGTCTTTATGTTGGGTATAGGAGCAATGTCTTAGACATCAAAAAAACAAAGTGTGGTTGCACTGTTTACAACTGAGGTTGAATACATGGCAACAGCCCTTTGTGCGTACCAGTGTGTTTGGCTTGGAAGGATACTCAAGCATATTGGAATTAGACATGAGACTGGAGTTGAAATTATATGTGATAATAGTTCTATTATACAACTGTCCAAACATCCGATGTTTCATGATAAGAGCAAACATATTGATGTAAGGTTTCATTTTCTTAGAAATTTAGTCAATAGTGGGGAAGTTAAACTCAATTTTTACACCTCTCAAGATCAAATTGCAGATATTATGATAAAGGCACTTAAGTTGGAGTAGTTTGAGAAATTGCAAAACTTACCTAGTGTAACTAGTATAGAAGCATTGGTTTAAGGGAGGGAATGTTAAGTTTGTTTAGTATTTTGTTATTATTTGTTCCTAGATTTAAAGAAATAATTAGTTAAGTATTTTCTTATTTTTTTGGATTGCTATAAAGATGTAGTCAGTTAGCTATTTCTCGCTCCACTTTAGCTTTATAAAAATCATATGCGTTTGGTCAATAAAAATATGAGAGTATATTTTCTCACTTATTCTATATTCTATAATCTCATATATCTAGTTCTACAATTAGATGATTTTTTTTTAAAGGTTTTTGTTCCTTTTACTATAATGGGATGTGAGTAATTATAGAGGTTAAAAAAAAAAGATAAATATGTTTTTTATTTCTGTATTTTTTCATATTTTTTATTTTATATTTTAAAATTGATTAATATAATCGTTTAATTTTGAAAATGTTATTTTAGTCATTTTTATTATTTAATAACAAAATGTTTATACAGTAATTAAATTCAAAAAAGATTATTTCTTTGTATTTAAATTTAATATTTAGTATTTTTTTTACTAAAAACACATATTTATATTTATAAAAATTTAAGGATTAATTAATCAATTTTAGAAATACAACATTACAAGTAAGTTAAAATTTTATAAAAATAAAAAATATATTCTGTAAAAAAAAAAACATAACAGTGACATTAGTATATCCACGGGGAATTAGAGTGGGCGACATGCGTTTATGCCCAAATTTTTTTATATTTTAATTTTGGTTTATCCAAAATTTTTATTTAAATTTAATGATTTATTATATTTATTTTAATTCAATATATATATATATATATATGAGTCTATTTAATTTTTTTAATAAATATTAAAGTAAATAATTAAATATATAATAAAGAAAAAAAAACAAGTAAGAGATGTTCAAAAAGAGTTTTTTTTTCTCTTACATTTTTTTTCTTTTATCATCATATGACTTAAATTATATTTAAGAATTCCTTTGTGTTATATACTATTTTAATATATTTTTTAATTATTGGTCAACATTTATCACTGAATATATGTTTGATCAGTTTTGGTGTCTAATGGACCTAATATTGAAGACATTTTCTTTCTCCACTTTCGTATTTATTTGAAATGTTTGAGGTTGGTTATCTAGAATTATTCAAATTCAAGATTTTTTTTTTAATTTTAAAGTAAACAATTCAGAATATGTAAAAAATTATATTTTTTAAGTCTTTTATTAATTATTCCCAAAAAAATCGAAACTACTAATCCAGAAGTTCATAAAAAACTTTGGGATAGATTAATGTGGGAGTTTTGCGTATAGGTTAATGGGATATATAAAAAATTGTTTTTGTTTTTAGAATTTCAAATATATATAATTCTATTTCGAGGACTTACAACTTATATAATCATATAGTTTAATAATATTAGATATAATCATAATTTTGAAAATATTTAGTTATATACAAGAAAATGGTAAAAGAAAATTTGAAACAACGAGGACAGAGTTAGACGTTGTTTTCTTGATGCCGTTGGCTGGGAACTTTCCAGCACCAACGGCTATTTGAAAGGAACAATTCTTAATGTGAATTGTTATGATGCTTACAACTTTTTCCTTTTGCGGAAAATGCATAACAAAACGCAATAAAGAAAGTGAAGAAAAAGAAAAGCACCGACAGCGCTCAAATCCTCTGTCGTCGCGCTTTTCTCAAAAACAAACCTTCCACCTTATTCTGTCGCCAATTATTAGACCATTTTCTAACCAAATATAAAGAATATTTTTTTTCTTTTTTATTAATACATTTTGTTATAAAAATAATATAAATATTTGTTTAATACATTTCATCTAAAAATAAATATTTTTTTATCTCATATTTAAATATATTTAATTTTATATTTAAAATATTGTTTAAATTTTCGTTTATCAAAGTTTTTAATTTTTAATTTAAAATAATATATAAATTATAGTTATTTTTAATTTATAAATTATATAAAATTCATAAATATATTGAGATATAAATTCTTAATAAAAACTGAAAACTATAAGTAAAATAAGATTATAATTTGATAAATATTAATATTTTATTTAAAAAATAAAAAAGTTTTTACTTAATAGCCGTAATAATAATATTATTAAAAATAATTATTATATCTGAAATATTATTTATTTTTAAAAAAATTATCATAATTTTATCTTAAAAATGTTAATTAAAATAAAGAAAAAATTTATATAAATTATAATTATTCACTGCGTTTAATATTTTTTTATCTCAAACATTCATAATAATCTATTATCTTTTTACACATACCGAAATTGTACCCACATAAATAACTACTTTATGACAACGTTCATAAGATCCAGAAGTTTCTTCACAGGATCCTTCGGTAAGCAAACAAGTCCCTACGTTCACGGGAACCAATTTTTTTTCAACTAGTCGTTTCCGAAAATTGATTATGTAACGCTATTTCACTTTTGCGTCACGATAACTGGTTCAACGTGAAAGCTTCAAAAGTAAGAAGAAGCAACGATTTCGGCGAACCAAAACGCGCAAAAAGCAAACAGTCGTAGCCAACCATCTTTCTCACCAACTCACCGCCATTCATTTCACGCCAGACGCGTCCCTCACCACACAGCTGTCCACGTTTTGTGGACCCCACACGTACTTCAACGACGCTATAAATACCATCACCCTCTCTTAACTCTTTCATCGCGAAATAAAAAACAAAATCTCTTAACACCTTCAAACATTTCTTTCGTATTCTCTTTCTCACTTCGCTTTTCGTAGAAATGGCATCTCAGTCCTTCAACTCCGTCGCCGTTGCCCTCCTCGTGGCGCTCTTCTTCGCCGTCTCCACTGCTCAAGATCTGTCTCCGGCGCCGGCTCCTGGACCCGATGCCGGAGCAGCCGGATCCGTGTCTAGTTCCATGGCCGTCATTGCAGCTTCGATTGTGGTTTCAATGTTCGCCGTATTCAAACACTGAATCTAATTTTTATGTGCATATATATTAATTTTGTTCTGGATTTGGTGTGAACAATATTTATGGGAATGGCGATTATGATACGAGATGATTTATGTATAATGGAACGAAAGAGAGAGAAGAGAGAGATTTGATCACATTATTATATTCTGAATCATTCATTGTAGGTGTTAGTGAGAAATAAGAGGGATTTTTAATCCCTTTTATCATTGTTTGAAATTCAGTGTGTATCATTGGAACAGATTCAGTGTTTATTAATACATATATGTTCCCCATTATTGATTAACACTATTACTTTCCTCTTCTTCTCTCTCTAAATATTCATCAGACTCAATGAGGCTGGATTTGGTTTTAATTTAACAAAATTAATATTCAGAAATTTTTTTCTTCTTCAATTAAGTGTGTAACGATTTGATATGTATTGTATTACGGATTTAGTTTTTGTTTTTAATTTAATCATTACAATTATGCAAAAGAGCATGACAGAATTAGGATGAAATATATAGGAGGCGTTTAAAATACGTATTCATATACTGATTTAATTTTATACAAATATTTATTAAATTTTAATATATATATATATATATATAGAGAGAGAGAGAGAGAGGGAGAGAGATAAATAGTAAAATAAGATACATTAGAAAAACTAAATTAGAACACAAACGTGTTTAATCACAACGGTATAATAATCTATTCATTTAAATATATTAATGGGTGGTGGAGAAGAAGAAGCATGCGCACAAGTCAGCCACACACCACAGCCATTCCTTTCCTTTGACGGAAAACTTGTTGGAACGTTCTGGAAGCATCATATTCCACGCACATACCATCAACTGATGGTAAAAGGTGGCGATCTTGAGAGCAGAAGGGTTCTCGTCTTCAAAGTTATGATTTTAATTTTTTTAAACTTAATTAATATTTAATATTTTTTTATATTTATAATTTTATTTTTTCCATTCCTTCCGGTGTCTTTAATCTTAATTAATATTTAATATTTATTTATATATTTATAATTTTATCTTTATCCATTTTTTTTATTTTATAACTTTTATATAATTTATAATTTTTTTTATTTATTATCTTTTTTTTTTAATAATTTAATGATCATTTAATATATTTAAATATATATTTATAATTTTATTTTTTTATTTTTTCTTTTATATTTATTTATTATTTATTAATAATATATTATTTAATATATTTAAGTATATATTTATAATTTTATTTTATTTTTTTATTTTAATGATCATTTAATATATTTAAATATATATTTATAATTTTATTTTTTTAATTTTTTTCTTTTTTTATATTTATTTATTATTTATTAATAATATATTATTTAATATATTTAAGTATATATTTATAATTTTATTTTTTTATTTTTTTATATTTATTTATTATTTATTAATAATATATTATTTGATTTTAACATAAATATTTAATATATTTTTTTATTATTTAAGATTATTTATTTATTTATTATTTAAGATTTTTTTATATTTATTTATTATTTATTAATAATATATTATTTGATTTGAAGATAAATAATCAATATTCGGACATGGGACAGACATTCCGCAGTATTGGTCTTCCACTAATCGGTTATGGAGAAAAATGGTTTCAAGTGTTTGTTACAAGTGGCACTAAGCAGGATTAGATATTCTATTACTAAATCAATACTCGCCGTAAATTTGTTTCCGTAATTTACATCATCTGATACCAGAATGCTTCTACCTTATTACAAGATTGTATTAAATAGAAAAGAGAAGATTGAGTAATAAATAAATAAAAGAGATTTATAAATATAATATTTTTTAATTTTAATTTAAAGATAATGTCATTTTTTTTATCTCATTCGTAGAAATATTTTCCATAATATCAAAGTTGATGATTGGCTTGGAAATTAATTGAATGTCTAGAGTAGGTGATGAATCTTGATTTGTGATCATTGACAATAATTTTAAGTAGACAAATCTCATTAGGTAAATAATAATATAGGTAAGAATTATTATTGTATCTCATTACATAAATGGCATTATAAGTAGGACTATAATTGATTTATGTTTAAAAGATGTTTTTGTTTAAGGGGGAATGCACCCGTTAGAGAAATATACTTAAACTTATTAGTTTTAGAATGAGTTAAAATCATATATCATGTAAAACTAGGAAAGAGTAGACCTATAAATTTAATGTTTTGAGAGTTTAAATTCAATGCTAGAAACAAGTCTTTTAATATTGATTATTTTTTACATCAAGGATATAGATACTATATTAATTTCTTCAGTAATATATGTATAATATATCTATAGAATCTATGTATTATGTTTTTGTTTTATTTATAAAAATATCATGTATTATTTATTACAGCGATTTTATTGCAACTAATATAATACGAGTGATATAAATTAATATTTTTTACATTAATGGTTAAAAGTTCTAGCATATATTCTAATATTATTGATTCACGATCTCACTCATGTAAATCTTCAAATATTAATCCCCTTTTATTATTTTATATTATTGTAAATAAAATAAAACATTTTCTTATAAATATTAGGATTGACGTAGTAGTAATTTTATTATAGTTTATATTAGTTTTGTTAATTTGGATTAATAAGTCTAATAAAAAAAACAACTCTCTTCACTGATCTTAGTTAGTATATTAGAATGATATATTTAGACAATAAATATTTAATTAGAAACATATTTGAGTTCGAAAGCACTGATTCACACAGAAGAAGCAACAATCTCGCTATAAATATTTTTAATTAATTTACACCACATATTTTCATCATCATCCACCTGTCAACATTTTCGCGTGTTGCCACAACACTATAAATACCACCCCCTTCCCTTCACTGCATCATCGCAAAATAAAATAAAAAACTCACAACACATTCACACAATTCTCTATTCAGTCTCTTTCTCTCTGTACTTTTCCAAGTCATGGCATCTCAAGCGTTCATTGTAAAATCCTTTCTCTTCGCTCTCCTTGCAGCACTTTTCTTCGCCGTCGCTACCGCTCAAGCTCTATCTCCAACATCGGCGCCGGCATCGGGACCTGATGCCGGAGTTGCTGGATCAGTTTCTTGCTCATTGGCCGTAATTGGAGCTTCCATTGTGACTTCAATGTTGGCCTTATTCAAACCCTAAATCAATTTGAATTCATGAATTCATATATTGATCTTGATGTGACCAATGAAACGATGATGAGATGAGTTTATCTGTGTATAACGGAAAGAAAGAGAGAGAGAGAGAGAAACTTTACAACATTTATACAGTGAATTTATTCATTCTAAGTGTTTGTGAGAAATAAGAAGGATTTTTATATATCTCTTATCGTTCGTTTCAATTTTACCATATATTATTAATATACATCTTACCCATTTTCTCATGATTGATTTTTTTTTTTTAATTCTTATTGCTTCTATTGTTTTAAATTCAATTAGAAAGATGAAAAGTTTATGCCATTCTAATCTAATCTTAATAAATTAAATAGTTGAGTAATTACATAGTTTATGCTCACGTTTACAACGTTAGACTTATGCAATTTTAATTTATTTAATTAACTACTTGACATAATATTTATGAAGAATTTAAATCGTCATTTTTTTATTATTATTATTATATAGGATTTTTTTAATAATAATAAAAAAGTGTTAACAGATTCAATCAAGCTAAATAAAATTAATCAAACAAATATATTAGATGATATCATGTACGATATTCTTTAGCCATATGAACCTGTTTTTATATAAAGTAACAAATTTTTATTATAAATAATCATTTTGAATGTTCAATTAATTTTTAAATTTTTAATTTCACAATCATCATTGGAGTATAATGCATTGATTGGTTTGTAGATTCACATAAAACATAAAAGAAAACCAAGAAAATTGGTGCACATGGATTATGTTAAAGAAAAAAAATTGAAATTGTGTTTTAAAAACTTTTTGAAATTAAATTTTATTCTTTATTTCTAAACAAATTTTGTATTTAATGAAATATAATAAGTATTTTTCAGAATAGAATAAAATATTTTTCATATAATAATTATGACAAATATTTATATTTAATATAATTTTAAACAAATTGTTTGATGTGCACATGAATTATTCTATTAAATTTTAATTATGATAATTAGAAAACAATTAATTTTGTACTGTTATTCAACTATATACATTTATCATAGATTCTCCAAAATCAAAGATTTTTTTTTGCTACCTAACAATTTTTATAATATACATTTGACATCAATAATAATTTTTCATAAAATCAAAATTTTTAACAATTAAAGTCACACATAAATATTTAGATAATTGTTCACAGGACATAAAAGTAAATATTTTTTAATGATAAAAATTAAAAACTCTAGAAAATAATTGATATTATATGAAAATCAAATAAAATATTTTAATTATATTAAAAATTAACATTTATATTAATTATTACATGGAAAAATATACTTTAACCTTTGAAATTACTTCTATCCAAAATTTAAGTATTTTTAAAATTTGTTTACCTAAACACTATCTTAAATATTCTCTTATATTTTAAAAAAATAAGAAAAGTTGTTTACAACCTAGATGAATATGAAATAAAATTTTGAATTTCTTACCTAAAATATTTAAAAAGAGGATATAAAACTTGAAAAAAAAATTAAAGAGATATGTGTATCTAGATAAATGATTTATTTGTGTTTCTTTTATATATACATATAATTCTTCAAATAATAGTGTATAAGAAAAGACAATAACGGTGTGCATAAATAACATTTTATATATTTTAACAACTTGATAACTTTCTTAATACTTTAATTACCAACTAAATAACATTTAAAATAGTTTAATCCAATGCAATGGGATTGATTTTGAGGAGTTAGGTTAAAAAGGGATTAACTTAAATTTTACCTATTTTTGGAATGATTCAAGTATTAATGAATTTGTTTAATTATTGAACTTAATTTAAATTTAGAAAATTTCAAACACAGGTATTACCACGTCACAAAATCACGAAATTAACGGGAAGCCTTAAAAAACATGAAAAACATGGAAACGTTTTTTGGGGTGTAAAAAGATTGGACAACAATATAAATACGACCACCCTTGTTTCAGTATCTCATCACAAAATAAAAAGAAAACCTTACAACACCTTTAAGCACTTATTTCTGCATTCTCTTTCTCTCTAAACTTTCTCAAGCCATGGCATCCCAAACATTCTCCCTCAATTTCTTCCTCGTTGCTCTCTTTGCAGCACTCTTCTTCGCCGTCGCCACCGCTCAAGATTTGTCTTCAACGTCGGCGCCGGCACCAGGACCTGATGCGGGAGCTGCTGGATCCTTTTCTTCCTCCTTCGCCATAATTGCAGCTTCCGTTCTGGTTTCAATGTTGGCCTTATTCAACCACTGAATCAATTTGATGAATTCATACATTGATTTTGACGTGAACAATGGAATGAGTTGATCTATGCATCATGGAAAGAAAGAGAGAGAGAGAGAGAGATTTTACAACATTTATACAGTGAATCATTTTTTTGTAAGTGTTTTGTGAGAAATATTAATAAAAGGGATTTATATATATCTCTTATATTTGTTTCAATTTATGTTTCTATTATTGAAATATATGTTTACCCATTCAATTTAACTTTATCACTCATTTTCTTAGCTAACAGAAGAACCCTTTTTTTTTTTTTTGCGTCTGGTTAAAAGAAATGAAATGGATTTTGGCATGTTGATATTTCTTTTGAAATAGAAAAAAGTAATGAATGGGTTGAAAACGAAAAACTTATTTTTTGAATTTTGGATCTTTTACTAAATTAGCTTGCCAAGAATCCAGACTTATAACCCGTATACCTCAACAATTACCTAAATCTAAAATTTGTAACTTGAATGATGTGTGATTAGACCTTCACTTGATCTTAAAAGAATATTTTATTAAAATCATTTTATTATGAATAAACAACTTTGATTTTATATAATTTGAAAGTCTTTAAAGTTCTCATATCCTAACATTGTATCACATACCCTAATAAGTGCTACTTAAAATGGTTTTCTTTCATTACACAACAGTAAACTAGTGTTACTTAATACTATAAATAAATAAATGAAACTATTAAATTTGTATTATTGAAGGAAAAAAATACTACTAGAAAATAGGTTTCATAATTTTATTTTTAATATTTTATATCGATTGTTGAACCGATGTAAAAAGTGTAATAATTTTTAAATCAATTGTTAACTGATATAAAAAATAATATTTAAAATCAATTGTAAAGAGAACTGATGTAAAAGTGACATATTACATCACTTTATTTTACAATCGATATTATATGTCTACTTAAAAAAATCATACGTATTCACATATAAATATCAAACATTTATACATATAATTATGATGAAGTGTTATTTATTTATATTTTTTTCATATAATATAATAGAACAATATTAATAACAATATACAACACTAATGACTATTTTTTTTTCCATTCTTAATAAAGTTTATCATATAGTAAAAAAATAGAAGTGATATACTTACTTATAACGATGACAACAAGAGAGAAATGTTAGGCGACAAAGATATAGATAAATAGTAGCAATGTCATAAATAATAGAGAATAATTTAATTTTTATTCTTTTTTATGTTGGGGTGACTGCTAACAATTAAATAATTACGTAATAATTTTGTTTTGTTGCGGTAATTGAGCAATATTTAAAAAGAAAGAGATTTAGAGAGGAGAAACTTTGAAAAGAAAAAATTTAAAAATTATATTTTTTGTTGAGGACAATATTTGAGAAATTGCAATAGGGATGATAACATAACAAAAAGAATAAATTTAAGGAGAATAATGAGAGAAGAAGAACATGCAAAATGATAATATATATAAGATTTTCTATATCAATTATATTAAGAATTGATATAATATTTTCATATGATAAAAGAAATCAATATTATATGTGAGATACGGTATCAGTTATATTAATAATTGACAGTTCATAAATTATTTCAAAAATATCACCACGTTTATATTTAAATTGATTATTATATAAACGATACGATGTTAAATTTTTTTATCCTAATACAAACATCATTTTTACATAATGAATTTATAAAATTAAATAAAACAATATAGCTAAAAAATATCTTAAAAGATGAAATTATTTTTCAGTACTTAAATATAATTTATTTGTTTATATCTCATTACAGTTATAAAATATAAATAAATAGTGTAAATGATGAAGGGACAGAGCAAGGATTTGCTGTATATGTTCATAAAATAAATGTTTTGTATACAATTTAGATCATTAATAAAATTAAGGCATACTCATCTGTTGAAAATCTCAAACTTTTCATACTCTTAGTAACCACATCTCACATAGTACTTATATCAAATATATATACTCATTTTCAAGTAACTTCAAAACAAAACATATATTTATTACATTATATTTTATAACATTTTTCATGAATTAAAACATTATCAATGTAAAATATACTACCTTATATACACACACATCGTATTCACATTTCATTAAAAAAAAAAATGTATACCTCACAATCCATAAAATACATTTTCAATACCTAATCATAAATATTTAATCTCACTCAATTTTAAAAATACAACATTGTGATCCTTTTTATGCTTAATCAAAACTTTCAATCATATAAATTGTCACTATATTTATTAAAATCATCACTATTTATTTATTAATGATTTTATCATTAATTGGATAAAAATGGTCACATTATTTTATTTTTAGAGATTTAAAAAAGATAATTTAATTATTTTTATCAATAATGAACCAAATTAAATAAAATAAAAAAGTAATTACAAATTTTCAGAAATTTTAAACCTTTACCTTTTCCTTGCAAAAATTAAGAGAGTTCAAGATATGTCATTTTTCATTATTTTAGTTAGTAATTTTTCACGGTTTGATTCCATTTTTTTAGTCTAAATAGGTAATTTAGTCCCTTTATTTTTTTCAAATGTTTTAATGTGGTCTCAAAATTTTTAATTTAGACCTGAATATTGAAATTGATGTAAATTTTGGACTACCGTTATTTATGTTTTGACTCCGTTATATTAGATGTCTAGTTGGAGTATAAGTTCTGATGTGGTTAGGTGATTGATTATAGTTACCTAGCAGATTTGTCACGTCACATTAAAATTGCAGGAAAAAAGGAATAGGGGTCGCGAATATGTTTAGGGTATGAATAATTGAGAATTTGTGCAAATGGGTTAGGGAAAACGTGAGGATCTGCAATGTTATCATGGAAGTACGAGTTCCATTTGTGAAAAAGGAGGAGGAGGGTGATTCCATTTTGGGTTTGCCACTACAACGAGGGTGCGAGTTGATGCTGATGACGAGTTAGTTCCATTTTGTCCTTTTATGTGTTTTTCTATATTTATCTTTGATTTGTCTTGTCAAAGTCGTTCTTTCGTCGCAATGAGTCGTAGGTAGTCCCTCCCGCGTGCTCGACTTCGCCGTCATCACATGTCCTCTTTCCCTTGTCGTCGGAAATAACTCGTTCCCTCGATGTCGTCGTCGCAAACCCTAAATGGAACCAACCTCCTTCTCTTTCGTCACAGTCAATCTTACACACAACGGCGATTGGAACCCTAAATCCTCACTGTCGTCACAAATGGAACTCTCACCTCCCCTGTTGCATATCCTCTCATTTTCTCTACCCATTTGCAAAAACTCTCAATTGTTCAAGCCCTAAACACATCAATGACCATATTCCTTTCTTCCTGCAATTTTAATGTGACATGACAAATCTGCCACGTAACTATAACCAATCACCTAACCACATTAGAACCGATACTCGAACTAAACATATAATATAATGGAGTCAAAACATACATAATGGTAATCTAGAATTGACATCAATTTCAATATTCATGTCTAAATTGAAAATTTTAAAAATTTTGGGACCATATTGAAACATTTAAAAAAATAAAAAGACTAAATTACTTATTTAACCATTTTTTTATTAAAAAATTATTTAAACTAAATATAAAACTTAAATATATTTTGATTTGATTCGGTTTTAATTTTTTTTAAATAAACAAATTAATATTTTGCTGTTTAGTTTGGATAATTTTATTTTATAAAATTGTTAAATATATTATAATAAAATAATTATTAAATAAATAAATACATTATAAAATTATCATTTGTGATGTTTATACTTTTAATTTACTTTTACATTCAATTTAAATAATAACAATTCATTTTCTAAAACACCAATTGAAAACAATACAATAATTAAAAAAAAAAACAATCAATCATAGTAATCATCATAATGGATCACATGTATATTAATAATACATAATGAAATTGAAACAATGATAAGAGAATATGAGAATCCCCTTATTTTTTGCAAAATCTCTTTCTCTCTCTCTTTCCATAATACATAGATCAAATCACCTCATAATTTCTCATTCCTAAAACGTATCATCAATATGGACTTACACATTGATTCAGTGCTTGAATATGGCCAACATTGAAACAACAATGGAAGCTCCAATAATGGCGAACGAATTAGAAACGGATCCAGCAGCTCCGGCATCAGGTCCTGGCGCAGGCGCCGATGTTTGAGCGGCGGCGACGGCGAAGAAAAGTGCCACAACAAGAGCAATGAATAAGGAATTGAGGGAGAATGCTGGAGATGCCATGACTTGAAAAAGTGTAAAGGGAGAAAGAGAACGATGAGAGTTTTGTGAGATTTTGTTTTTATTCTGTGATGATGCAGTGAACGGAAGATTGTGGTATTTATATTGTAGAAATGTGGACACGTGGTTGATGATTCGCGCACCGTGAGAAAACTAGTCTAACCCGTTGGATGTTTTAAAATCTGATCTAACGGTTAATATTTTTTATCTTTCTATTCTCCAACAACCTTTGTTCCACGAGAAATATTCAAACGGACAACGCAACCGACAATCTCGGTTGTTTAACAAACCAAACAAAAAAAACGTAAGAAACGTAGAAAACTATCTTCGGCACAACTCATTGCCATTCATTCACACCTCAAAACACCACACATGTCCCTCGCCACACAGCTGTCCACGTTTCATGGGCCCCACACGCACTTCCCCACAGCACTATAAATACCACCACCTTCCTTCAATCTATCTTCCCAAAATAAAAACAAGTCCTCTTAACACCTTCTACACTATCTCTTTTCTTCATCTCTTTTTCTCTCTGCACTTTTTCCACTCATGGCATCTCAATCATTCTCCTTCAACTCCTTCGCCGTTGCCCTCGTCGTGGCACTTTTCTTTGCCGTCGCCTCCGCTCAGGAGCTGGCACCGGCGCCGGGACCCGATGCAGGAGCTGCCGGATCCGTTTCGAGCTCCGTGGCCGTGATTGGAGCGTCGGTTGTGCTTTCAATGCTCGCCATCTTCAACCACTGAATTAATTAATCTGATTGATCATTCCGAATTTTCCTTCGTTTCTTGTGAAAAGTATTGGTTTGTTGATTTACAGTGGATTACGTTGAGGAGTGATGAGATTGCAACGGAGTTGTGTTCATATATGTAAAATGGAGAGAGAAAGAGATTTTACAGAATTCATATACTGAATCATTTGTTGTAGGTGTTAGTGAGTGAGAAATAAGAACAGGATCTTTACCTTCATAATTCATCTTTAATAATATTACTCATTATTCATTATTAATATCGTTTTTCCATTTACTTTTTCTGAATAATTTTAATCCAAAACTTACATAGAATATTCAAAAATTAATATAAGGATAAATTAATTTCCATCCTTATATTGCGTCCTAAATAAAACTAATATTTTGAAAATACATGTTAGTTTTAAAATTTCGGAAGTTTGAAATCGTCAATAAATAACTTTCATGGATCAACAAGGATTTTTTATTTTATTTCTAAGACCTTGGACTTTGAACTCTGAATTTCCTTTATTTTTCTTCAAACCCTTTTTTCCGTTTGATTGTTGGATTTTCTTCGCTCCATCGTTTAATCGTGTTTTACTTATAATAATAAATTAATATTCATTTTTTTATTATAAATGATCTAACTTATTTATAAATATAAAAAATAAAATAAATTAATAAACATAAAAATAATCATAGAAATTACATTTTGTTTTTTATTATAAAAATTTTAATGAGATTTATTGAAAATTAAAAAAAGTTTAATAATTTGTGTACTTGTCAGTATTTAACACGTACATACGGTAGAGATAAAATATATATAACCACATCTACAGTTAGTTAGATTAACTAATTTAACTGAAATAAACATTACATATAAATTATCCGAAACAAATATTACGTCAAAATTATTGAATTATTATTTAATACAATCCTCTAATTCAACAATTGATTTTAATATATTTTTTCTCAATTATTCGAATATTCGATTATTCAAAAGTTTCATTCTAATGCCCATCAGTTGCTTCTTTTGTGTTACAATGTTCAAACTTCAACTTATTCTTCTTGCTTCATCTCTAATGAAATGAAATCTTAATCCAATATATTTGTTTCTCCCATGGTAAATTTGATTTTTCACTAAATTGATAGTTGGTTTATTGTCAAGTGTTATAGTATTCTTTGATCTTTCGAGTACTCGATTCACCAAACTCTCGATTCACAATGTTTGACAGACTATGTAAGTAACAACAATGTATTCAGTTTTCCAAGAGAGTGCTACAACAAGTTATAACTTTGAGAACCATAAAATTCGGTGATTTTTCTAGTATAAATACATAATCTGATTTGCTTCTGAACCAACTTTATCACTAATTCAGTCAGAATTAGAATATTCGATCAATTATCCTCTATTGGTGAGTCAAAATACCTTTCTTATCTTTGATGAATTTCATTCCCAAAAAATATGACAACTTCCTTAGATCGATCATCTTAAACTGATCTTGCATTTTCTTTTTAAAATCATCGATCGAAGTATTTTAACTACTTGTAATCAATAAATCATCGACATATAAACGAACAATTAACTCATCATCTCTTTCTATCTTCAAGTAAATCTCATACTCAATTTTACACTTCAAGAATCCTTGTTGTTGAAGACAACCATCGATTTTAGTGTTTCAAACTATCAAGGTTTGTTTTAAGTCATACAACTCCTTCTTCAATCTAAAAATCTTTTATTCTTCTCCAGCAATCACAGGCCTTGGTAATTGTGTAACATAAATATCTTCCTCCAATCCATCATTAAAAAATGTAGCTTTTATGTAACGTCTAATATATATATATATATATATATATATATATATATATATATATATATATAATGTGAACATTTTTTTTTCCAGGGTGACATGTGAAATAAAGATATTTTATATATAAGAGTAATTTATATTACTATTTTTTTATACAGAATATATAAAAGAAGAAGAAATTTAATTTATTTTTTATTCCTTCTATTCTTACTACGATTATATAAATATTTATATTACCAGTGAGAACAAACTAATTAAAAAATTTTGGTGAATGGTAGGAAACATGCATAAAGTGACCATTATTGGTCCATCTAATATGATGAGAGTTTTGATGTTAGATGCAAATGTAAGATCGATAATCCTGTCCCTCTAAAAATAATCGAGTTGTCAATAATGTTTGTGTTCCAAGTAGTTCCTAGAAAGAAGAGAGATTTGGAATATTTGGCGTCTCCATCTACTTAAGTTAGTATTTAAATATAACATGCAAAAAAGATCACAATAAGGAGTAAAAACAATTATCATTAAAATAATACAATCTTATGATGATATATAAAATATATTTTTTAACTTCCTCAACATATTTTATTTATTTCATATTATGAATATTTGAATTAAATTTGTAGTGACTAGTCAACGTAAATGAACCCAACTTTGTCCAACCCTCATCTACAATATCATCAAATATTCATAAATAGATATTATTATTTAAAAACAATTAAATAATATAAATATGAATTAATAAACAAGGAGTAATACATAACTGAAGATAAAATAAATAAGAATAATGTGTAACTAGAAATAAATAAATAAATAAATATAAAACAAGATCATTGCATAACTAAAAATAAATAAATATAAAACAAGACCAAGTATGTAAAGAGACAAATAAATAAACATAAAATATGACCAATGCCTAATTGAAGATAATTAAGATAGGACTAGTGTATGACTGAAGATAAAACAAATAAATACAATGCACCACCAGTAAGCAAGTGAAAATAGATAAATAAACAACAGAATAAATAAAATGAGGTTAGTAACACCTCGCTCCACAATCATGATTAAAATATAATAGATAAAATACTAAAAGTCTTTTCCCCTACCTCAACATTTACATATAATACACCAAAATTTACCTCCAAATTTTTTTTTCTCCTTTTTTTTCTTCCTTCTTTCTTATCCTCTCTTTTCACGTCACCCCAATCTTATTTATAGAAACATTTTCCTTTTTCTTCTCTCCTTTCATTAATGATCTTATCCCCTTTTATTATATTATTTTTTTCACATCTCTTCTTATATGAAGAGATAAACTATATTATATATATATATATATAATAATTATTATTAATTTCATAATATATATTAATTAATAAAAATATTTAATAATTATTATTTATTATAATTAGTATTATTTTAATAAAATAACCATGATAATAACAAATAATAATGTTTGTTTAACATATGTATTTTTATGTATAACAATTTAATAATATATATATGTATATATATATATATATATTTACTAATAATTTTAAATAATACTATATATATATTAATAAATATGTTTTTTTAACTATTTAAATTATTCAAAAAATATATAATTTAATGCATTCTAAAAATTTTACATGATAATTTGTTGTTTGAGGTGTTACATTTTATATCCATTTGATGTATCTGCCACCTTTGATAGCTAGCGAGAGCTATAACTGTTTTTATCGTCTTCATCCCAACAACGGGTGCATATTCTTTTTTGTAGTCTAATCCTTCTTTCAGTATAAAGTTTTTTGCTACAAGTCTGACTTTATGTCTTACAACTATTTCGTCAAGTTTTAACTTCGTCTTGTACTCCAATTGACCTTTAATTATCTGTGAGGTCAATTAATTCCTATATTTTATTCTTTTCGATTGTCAAACATCCTTTTTCTTGGCTTTGATCTGCTTGGGATCATTGATCGCTTCTTCAATGCAAACTGATTTAGGCTTAACATCTACATCCAGTGCTAGATATACAAGATCATTCACATCCTCCATTTCTCCAATCATCTATCCAGATGTTGTAACAAAATCATCAGTATTAGCCATATAATCATTGAGTCTCACTAGTGTTCTAATCGATCTTGTAGGTATACTTCTCCTTCCTTCTATTGTAGAAATCACTTGATTTCTTATATCAATCGATTTCCGCTTTCAATCCAAATCTCCATTGATTCCTGCTCCCTTTCATTTCTAATGTTGATCGATTTCTACCATATTTGATTTCATAAGTCGATTGATTATTGTCTTTTATTTTCGCATCACCTGAATCATTGAAGGTAACACTTCGATTTTCTACTCTCGAATACCATTTATAACAATCTTCTCATCAATAGCAACATTTCTACTGATAATAATATTCTTCTTGATAAGATCATACAACTTGTACGCACCAGTTAAATGATATCCTACTAAAATTAACTTCTCGCTTCTATCATCGAGCTTCTTCCTTCTCTTCTTTAGAACATGCCTCCATGCAATCGAGCCAAATATTCTCAAGTGTTTTAAATTTGGCTTTCTCCCATACCATATCATACTTCCTCTGGTATTTTCTCCTTCACTCTCTTTGATGGACATCGATTCACGATGTATATGATTGTCGATACTGCTTCTCTCCAAAACGAATGTAACAAACATTTTGTTTTCAACATACTTTTGACCATATTTATAATTGTTTGATTTCTTTTTTAAATAACATCACTGTGTTGTGGTGTGTATGAGGGTGAAATCTCATGCAAAATATCATTCTTCTTGCAAAAAGATGCAAACTCACCATTGTTATACTCTCCACCATCATCCGATTCAACACTTTAATAACTTGACCACATTGTTTCTCAACCATCAATTTAAAATTGACAAAGTGACTAAACACCTTCAACTTCTTCTCGAGCAAGTACACCCACATCTTCTTGTTATAATCATCGGTGAAAGTCACAAAATACCTGTTACCACCTAGTGAAGAAACATCGAAGGGTTCACACATATCTGTGTAGATAACTTTCAACATATCCTCGCTTTTGATCTCAAATCGTACCTTAAAATTATTTATGACTTGTTTCCCTGTCATGCAACTTTCACATATGTCTTTATTTTTTCGAACTCGAGGCAATCCAATCACTATCTCATTTTCTACAAGTTGGCTCAAACTATCGAAGCCAAGATGACCAAACCTCAAATGCCACAACCAATTGTCATCTGAGACTGTTACTGCAAAACATAAGTTATTCAATATTAAAATATCAACTCAAAAAACTTTATTCTTACTCAAAGGTGCTTTAAAATCGATGTTCCATTCTTATTGA